CAATAGTTTCATTTTCCATCTTCTGAAGATATTCATGTGGATGAAGGATTATGACAATGTTCTAGTATGATCTCCAAAAAAGCAATGCAAAACCAGTAAGTGGACCAGTGCTAAACTTAATAATTTAATTATTGACAGTTGTCCTTTACCAAAGAATTCTACAATATTGTTTGTTCGCTTACTTCCATCTCATTGGGTCAAAAAGTCCAGGGTAGAGAGGGGTAGAATGGCATGAACATGAGTTCAGGTGACTGAAGAAATTGGATGTGTCCAAAAAATGGCAAGGCTTTTTGTTGGATAGAATGTAATCCACTGGGATTAGTAGAAAATAAATCAGGAAAGACAAATTTGGAAAATATTACAGAGATTGTAAAAACCAGACAGTGACATTTGCCTTTATTCAGTAGGCACTGGGAGAATTTAAGGATATTTGACCAAATCAGTGACGAATAAGACAACAATATTAATATAGCAACCAGATTTATATAAAATAATTCCTGCAGCTATTATCTCATAAATCAGAACCCAGCTCTAGAGATGCTGGTCCAATTGTGACATGAAGGATGGAATCAAAGTGAGTGCAGGAAGAGCCCAGACCCAGGAGGGCCATGTTAGCAAACGCGGTTTTCAACTAAGAGATTGTGAAGGCTTTAACTAGATGGTGGTGGCTGGAATAAAGGGAAGGATCCAAGATACAATTCTGGATGTGGTAACTGACTGGATGGGGTAACTGATTGGATGTGGGAAGCAACAAGTAAAAGAAATCAATCATGATCACAAATTTTATTTTAACCATGATATGACAGTTCTCTTTATAATAGTACGAAAAGTAGCAAAAGAAGCTGGTATTTTTTTTATGGTTCTGGAAACAAGGGATAGTGGTTGGATGAATTAATATACCTGTGTCTCTTGGACATCTATATAAAAGGTTCTAGAACACAGGGTTGTAAATATTTGTGTGGCCATTGGGAGTCATATTGACATTGAGGTATTGAAGATATTAAATATCTAATTGATGTTATAAAAATAAACAAGTATCCAAATGAGAGAGAGTAAAATGAGAAGATGTCAAGTAGAATAAGCAAAAGAACGATAGCCATCAGCAAGAAAGGAAGGGACTCACACAGTTGTCACTAAAGGCTTGAAGGAGAGAAGAAGGTAGGGGCAGAGTATGTGAGTAGGCTGGAAGTTCAATGCTACAGCATCTGCAATGATACAGCTCATGATAGGCCCAGCATGGACCAGTTAGCCAGTTGGCACAGCCCTTTAACTGGCATCTAGAATTTGACCTCTCCCTGGCACGAGGGGACAGATGTTTCGTACTGGGAGGAAGTTCATTGGAGCAACAGAGCAGTGATGTAGTTCAGAGAGGCAATTGGCACTCTTCCAAATTAAGTGTCCTGCTAGAGCAAGCAATACTGAGAGATCAAAAAGGTAGAGATGTTGGAGCCACAAACTGGAGTTGTTAATCTCCCAGGGATTAACACAATCCAAGTCCTTAGGATGGAATGCAGAGATGGGATTCTACTCCCCAGTAGACAGTGGTGGCACTAAGGCAGAGTCCAAATACCAGAGGACGTGGGATTCCAGGCAGAACACAGATTCTTAGTACAGGAAGTAAAATGAGGAGACAGAAATTGGGCAGCTATTGGAATTTAGAAGAAAGTCAAGGCTAAAAGAGCAGCAAGGATGACTAAATGCATAGTCTCAGAGCACTGGGCTAGAGACCCCAAAATTTCTGTCTAAGGCCAGGGTGATCTCTGGAATCCAAGACAAGTCTAAACCTGCAGGGCTTCCAGTGGCCATAGCTATGAAGACTTTGGGGACTGCTGAGACTGAATTTAACAACGAGAATATCTCTTTATGAAGAAGAGCCTCAAGCAGGATGTATGGGAGCTGGTTGAAAGTCAAATTGCAAGGCATAAAGGAATGAGTGAGTGAAAAAGAATGTGTGCATGGGAACAACTAACTCTGATGGAATGTTGCACAGACAGAGAGAAAAAGAGAGAGGAGGACAGAAGTTGAGGAAAAGTAGCAAGGTCCAGAGGAAGTTTTCTGTTTGTATCTCTTGGTAAAGGAAATAAAGAAGCCGTAAACAGAGGGAAGGAGCCAATGGAAAGAGGAATCATTTATGAAATTATGGAATCCCAGGGTGGAAGGAAGGTAAAGGGTAAAGGAGTACACAGGAGGTATCTCAGCCAGGAGCCCATTTGAAGCTGCAGCCTCTCAGAAAAGGCCCAGGGCAATAAGAATACTAGACCCAGAGAACAAGGGCATATGTTTTTGTCCCCATTCAGCTCCTAGTTCACGCAAGCATGGACAAGTGCTTCTTCTCTCTGGGCCTTCTATTTGCTCAGAAATAAGAAAGATGTTCTAGATCCTTCTAGCGTATAACTAATCAGAAACAGGTAGATCACAGACATGTGGAAGGGAAGAAGAAGGATGATTGGAAAGGAAGATTTGGGCAGCTTTGATGTTCTCAGTAAAGTAGGAAGCAGCATAACCTGATGATGGTGGCGGGTGAGGGGTGTCGCATGGGGTACTGAAATCAAATGCCAATCAGCCCAAGAGATGCCCACGTGTGGAGAGGCCAGGAGGGACTGCAGGGCACAGTGGCTGAAATCTTTGCAGTCAGGCCAGCTCTGAATTCTGACTCAGCCACTCACACAAGTTATAGGACCTTGGACAAACCACTTAAGCTCTCAAAACCTGTTTCCTCGCCTGTAAAATGGGAGTAATGTTTCCCTTGTAGTTTTCATCAGAAAGTAAAGGATTAATAAAGAAATCCAATAGGATATTGCCAGGCCTATTAGTGTGCTCACACAAGCTCATAGTTGTAATAAAGAAGGACAAAGCTGAGGGTAAATAATAAAAATTCATAGTAACTTCCAACCATTAGAGTTTCATGACTTTCACTTATCCTGTCATCAACTTGATGATGTTTAAAGTTAAAGCGTTTCTGGAGGGCAGAAGGACTGAGCAGCCAGGCAGAGAAGGAACATGGAAGGGGCTTTGCCTGGGAGACCAAAGGAGATAATAACAGCTCAAGGGCCAAGGCCCGGGGAGTGTGAGTCCCCAGGAATCTCCAGGTCAAAAGAGATTGAGCAAAGCAGAAGGTTTGGATGATGTGCTCAGAGTAAGGAAACATAGGTTTGAAAAATTGAAAGAAATCATAGAGAATCATCTAAAAGAAAAGGAAAAGGCAAGGTGCAAAGAAAATTTCTGGAATGATAGCCAAATGCTGTGTTCTCTGGCAAAGAAGGAATTGGGGTTAGGAACAGACTTGATGTCGTTGTCCCAAAAATCTCAATACAAAGGAAAAATTCTGTAATGAATATTTTGTAAATAAAGGTGCATTTGGCTACAAGTTCCCATTTTTCGCTATGTATGGTGACTTTTGGGACACCCTATATAATATTTTATACATGTTTACTATTTTGCCACCTGTACCTCTTATTAGTTAAATCAAAACTTTAACTAAAGATGAAGTAGTAACAAAATAAACACGAACAGAGGCATTGGAAGGGATGTGGCTCTGAGCATGGCTTGGCCCTCAATTACCTCAATTATCATAACTTACAGGGCACGTGCTCAAGTGCCAAGCACCATGCAACATGACCTCATTTAATCCTCACTGTAAGACACTATGACAAAAAGACTGTGATTTTCCCCATTCTACAGATGAACCAAAGCACAGAGATGTGATGTCACTTGCTCAAGGTCACTGAGGTGGGTAGTGTCACGGCCAGTATTTGACTTTTCAAGCACATGTGTTTAACTGTCACATAATAGATAAATTTCAAAGTGGAGGTAAATTGTCAAAAATTAGTTTTATATTCTTCATTCAAAAGAAGACACAGGAATCACAATTATTTTTCTCTTAATATTTCACTTGTGTTCAATTCTATAGCCCATTCTTCCTACATTAGCTTGAAGTTTGAGAATCTTCTCTGGAAGAAAATGTTCTCGTGTCCAAGGTGGAAAAATGAAAATAAGATGATAGCTTCAAAGTATGGCACAAAAGTTGTACAGAATCTCAGTGTTTTTTTTTAAGCATAACGAGTATTGAAAAACTTAGCGATAAAGTCCTAAAATATGTAATTGTAGCTTGGTAGCACTATTAAATAAGTATTCTGTGGTCTTTTTGACAATTGTATTAATCCCTTTACAAAGCCTTCAGAAGTTCTATCACAGAAGCATGGATGCTGTTTTGATCTATTTATTACTCTTAAGTGTTCAGAGAACTGTCCCTATTTTCTAATTAACACTTTTAGAGATAAAAAGCCATGTATTAAATCAATCTGAATGATGGTTGTTTGTGAATCCCACAAGATAAGGCAATTTGCATGTTCACTTTGTACTTCCAAACTAAATCTGCACATCTCCAAAGCAGCCCCTTATAATGTAAACCTTTTGTGAGTATTTGTAACTTAAAAGAAAGTTTGGCCTACTACAGAAGCAGTGCCAATTATCTAAAGGGCTTCGTTACCAAACATGATTAAGATACAAAGATATTGAGTTGTTATTTTATATTGTTTGCTGTGGAGTTTGAGGAAACGACTTTTAAAGTATCCAGGATTATAGATTATTACCTTTTTATAGGGGACTGACACAACTCATTTCCCCCAACAGTTAACAGCTTTCCAAAGTAGCCAGTTGCCACTCACTTGGGGTAAAACTCCTTTGATATGAATTAAATTGCTTGCTGATGAAATGCACCTTTCAGCGACCTGTTTGAGTTTCCGCTGATGCCGTGGCACGCTTCATGATGTGGATTCCAGCATTAGTGCTAAATCACGGTGGTGATTTACTATTGGATTTCCAGTCCTGATGAGTCAGCACTGGAAGATGTTTACCAAATTAGACTTTCAAGAACAATGGCACTTCCCTCATTAAATGGAAGCCTTTGTTGCCGGCACTGGCTATTGTTTCCACATGGTCACCGTGTGATATGTTCACACTTGGGGCTCTCATCAGATAGGGTTTCTTTGCTTTTGCAGAATCTGTCTTCATCGGACTTTACGTGCTCAATCAACTTGGAAACCATGTGGAAAAGCCCCAGTCTTCAAAATCCAAGAAAGGATCCTTTATCTTTTCTAAACAGTTCAACCTGTGCTTTCCCTTTGGCAAACAGTTCGAGAAACCGGAAATATCCTGTTGGCTAGTGAAAAGGTATCGGATTTTTCTTTTTCTCTAATGCAAATGAGCAATGCCTTATGATTTAAGCAATGCCTTAAATGATTTCCTGTGAATGGCTCTTTAAAAAGTCTGTAAAAGCTATTGGGACAGTGAGTAAGACAGTGGGAATGTCATGCTGACTTTTCTTGGGGAAAAGCAGAGAGAGGTTTTCGTTTTTTTACTTTATTCAACAAATATTTATTGACCTTCTGGTGAGTAACAAGTGCTGCTGTAGGTGCTGCTAATATGTATGTAGACATGAAATCCTTGTCTTCATGGGGCTTACATTCTAGAAAAGAGGATGGACATAAAACAAACTCAAAAAAAAAAAAAAAAGTCAGCCCATAATTTCTGTAAGTGTTAACTATGCCTACTACAATTGAAGTACTTTAAGCTTCAGCAAAAGCAAGCAAACTGAGGCCTGCTTATCCCCAGACTGATTTTGAGCTTATTTTAATAAGAAGCAGCTTCTTTCGTAACAGAGCTTTCATACAGCAACTGCTTCTTAGGAGCCCGTGCACAGTTTTCATATTTTAGGTTCAGTTATAAATTCAATCTAATCATCACAGCGCTTTCTAGCACTTTATATTCTGAATCTAAACTGAAATGATCAGAGAGTGCATCATCGCTGGCTATTCTGGGCACGTTTGGCGTGATCCATAGAAAGAGCAACTAGACAATCTTTTTAAGGCCTCGCCTATCGCTGTTATTAGATAATTAACAAAATTGTAATTTTTTTCTTTATTGTATTTTGATTATAATGAGACTACGTATGGACAAATAAAACATAACAGCAACTCGAATCCTAACGCAATGGATTTCAGAAAATCTGGCTTTTGTTCCTGCTGCAAAACACATGGCGAATGACATTCACATGAGGGACAGAGTTCCATGGACCTTTAAGGGTTTGCACAGTCCCTAGGACATTAGCTATATGTTCACCCCCTTCTCATTCGCTCAAGAACGCAAATGGGAATATCAGTGATTCGGGATGAAATTATTATAGGAATAACCTTGAATCCTCTGCTCTAATTTAATTTTAAGTAAATCAGTTGAAAGCGATTATTAATCACAAATGACTTGTGAACCACCTCCCAAAGAATCAACAACTAACGTATACACCACAACAGTGCATTGAGAACCACTGACCCAAATAGACTAAATTCCTCTAAAATTAGATAATCATATGTGCTCTGAATTTTTTGAAAATCATTATGTAGTTAAATACCAATAACCAAAGCCAACCAGTGCCATAATTTAAGCACTTAATTTGCTTTATGGCTACAGACTTCTCCTCTCTTGTTTCAATACTAAAGATTTGATGGCAGAAGGGGAAGAGAGCTGGTTAATGCTTCCTAAGGCAGGTACTGCCTTCTCTCTCTGCCGCCTCTGAGTGCTTTCCGAGCTCCACTGACAAGGTGTTGATATGTGGAAGTAGTTCTCTCAGGTCGAATGCTCTTGCAGCCAGGCTGCGAGCAGTCACTTCAATGGAAAGCTCTGTGGTCCCTGCCAGCTCCTCTGGCCCACAGATGTCTCAGGGTGCAGCCCCATCCTTTTCTTAGTCACAGCAGTGAGATTTGCAAATGATCAGCACAACAGAGTTGTAACCAACCTTAAGGTGGACTTCAACAAAAGGTAGGTAACTCGTTGGTTTCAGAGAAGTACTTTCTAACGTTTGGTGTACTTCAAAAACATTTTTTTTTTCCCCAAGAATTCCTTCATTTTCAATTCAGGTGGGACATTTTGTTCTTTCTGTGAATGAGTCCTTTGCTTATTTTTGGGTAAATGTGGTTTTACATATCCTAAGTTTAACCATAAATCCTTCTGAAAATGCAAACTGAAAGCACACTTTCCTTCTCATTAAATTCCATTATACCAAAAGAAAGATCTAAGTATAACTGTAACAGGATCTAAGCAGAGCTGTAAACCAGAAGTACAGGAATGCCTTGTAAACAGTACAACATAAGAAACTTGGGAAGGTCTGCCTCTCTGTTCCGACTCGCAGGCAATTGCTGTGTGAAGGCAGATTTATGCATTAGGCTGGTTGCTTAAACCCAAATGACATGTATGCATAGCCATATAGGAGTTTTTTTATTGTTGTTAATATTGTGAAACAGTTAACATGTTTGATGGAAAATGAAATCATCAAATGCTGTTTCTGTCGAATAATGCGACTGCTCTTTAAAAGGCAGCATCCCTGGAGCTTTGCTTTTCTGCATTTTAGTAAGTGAAAACTTTGTCAGATGTGGGACTTCCATGGGCATTATGAAAAACTACGGCATCAAGGCGGATTTTAAAAATTCAACAAGGAGAAGGAAAGTATGAGAGAAAGAAGGAAAAATAATGGAAAAGGAGGGAGGATAAAGACATAGAACAGAAGAAACAAAAACAGAACAAGGAGAGAAAGAAGGAAGGAAGGAAAGAAAGCAAGAAATGAAAGAAGAAAGGAAGCAAGGGAGATGAAGAGAAGGATAAAATAAAATACAGAAGTTAAGTACACTAACAATACAGTTATTTAAACACGCTGCATTTTCAGAGTAGATCAGCAAAAAGTTAGAAAGCACAGGTGTCTCTGTAATTGTGATACATTGGGAAAATTCACACTGTTAAATGAGCCTCAAATTCTCACTTCTACCTGCATGATACAGAAATACACTGTGAGTACGCTGGGCTATGATCCAAAAGATGCCAAAATCAGAGCAGGGGATGGAAGACTTGCAAGATTCTTCTGTCTTGTGCTCCTCTAGTATCGAATTATAGAATTTGTGCATTTATATTTTATATGCTGTTAGTAGGGCACATTCGTTGCATGTTTGGATTGAATAATTTTAAGAACACACCACTATTTTTACAAGAAAAAATATTCTGAAAACATGATAAAGATTCAGTGTTAATTTTTTTCATAGAGAAATGGTTTAAAGATTAAATATTTAAATCCAGTTCACAATCCTAGGGATTGAAAGTCAGCAAAATGCTGAGAAAATGATGCAGAACTAGAAAAAGGGAATTAATTTGCATGAAGGCTAGGATACTGGTCTTGGAAAAACATCCTAGGATACTGAAGAAGAAGACCCGAAATTAAGAAGGGTATTTGATCTTCCTTTTATAACATAGATGTAAAACAACAAACCTAATGCCCCAGACTTTAGATTAACTAGATTATAAGAGCATTTGCTTTACAAAATTACTATTTACAAAAAGACATGCCATATCTGAATGGGCAAATCATCCTATTAATTACAAACCTATTTTGTACTGAAAATGTTTAATTCTACTGTAAATGTTTTTTTGTTAATGGAGGCAACACTGGAGGAAACTTTTCCATCTTCAAAATATTAATTTATATTGACCACATGGTTAGAAATTAAGATTTCTAAGATCTTTATGTAATACATATAAAAATTTATATTTCTACAAGTATAAGGTCTTTATTCTTTTGGTTCTCCATTCATCAATCTCTAAATGAAGAAAATATAGAAAATGTATGTATTACGGCTTGGCTTGTCTGCACTTTATTATGGAGCAATCCTTGCCCACATTGAAAGATTTATTTAAAGGGAATTTAAATTTAAACAGATTCATATGCACACGTGCATACATAATGGAAGAAAGGCAATGCTATGGAATTTCCTTTCTATTTTTTTCTACAAAACACCACTTCTTACATGTATAGTTTGGGGGTTGTCCTTAAGTAGATACTCTTTCTTGCCTCTTGATCAGTATAGGGCACTGAGAGCAAATAATTGCTGTATTTATAATACTTGGGAATTTTTTTCTTAGTGTTTATTCCTGCTTAGCCACAGATACTACTGTAGCAACCTGTTGCCTACCCACATTGTCCAAAGTAGTTGTCTAAGTTCCCAAAGGAAACAAATTCAGGACACAAGTGGATGCTGTTGGGTGAGGGGCACCTAGTCTGGGCTTCTCCAGTGGTAGGGAGGACAAAAGGGAAATGATACTTTGCTTCTTTTAACCTGGTTTGTTAATGTATCTTTGCACAATCAATTCATGTTTAATATTTAAATGTATTCGTAAATCCTTTGAGGATTAAGTAATGTCAGTACTGTTCTGTGGTACATTATTGTTATGCACATATACCAGTTTTGCCCAAAATTCCTCATTACACTCCCCTTTATTAAATAACAACAAACTGTGAGGGTTAGTTGTATTAATACTTAGCACTCTAGTTCCATCATGAAACATTAGCCTTCTTTTCTTTTGCTCTGTGAGCTCCCGTGCCAATATCACTCATGTCTTGTTATATAATAAATGGAAATAAAGGCAACTTGAGTGGTAATCTGGCTTCACTTGCTAACTCTGGATGCCATTTTGATCTATACAATGTAGACGATGGGCATTGTTTCCTTGTGTCCCTATAGACGGCACAACAAGGCAACTGAATACGCCACTCTCCTAGTTCTAGCTCTTTGCCAAATCCGCTCTGAGATTTAGCCAGATATCCTCACCAGTTTATAGAATGACATATTTTCTTGCTAAGAAAATTCTTACTGTTCCATTCTCTTTAAAACCTGTACACAAATCACAACCGACCAGTGGACATAGTTCAGAGTTTTTCTGTACGTGTCAAAGATGGCTGGGTTGCCGTTGCTTCTTTGAATGGCACCAGTGCACTGGCATCCCCAGGTACTTCCCTGGGGAGAGTTACAGAAGTCTGGCTACGCTCAGGACCGTGTCCTAATCCTGCATACGAGTGTCACATCTCTTGAACAGGTGCTGGAACCAAAGACCGAGACCGGCTGTAACTCTAGCAGCATTTTTCATGGGACAATAATAAGATTTTCGGCGGGTTTGATGAAAATGTTGAGACTCACTGAATTGATAAGTGTCAAATAAACGCGGAAAGTAACTGAGTGGTTTACGTGTTGATCTGTCATCGATAGAGCTGCAGATCAGATGGCGATGGGATCGTTTTTTAGCCAGCTCTTCCCATCCTCTGCTCAAATGCACCAAATGAAGCGCCCATTTGCTGACTAGAAATTCACAGTTGAGGTCGACTGGTGATGCAGTGCGAAGAAGCCTGTTCTGTTCCTCTGCTCATGAAAAAGCCATGCCAACCTTCACCTTTAAATAGCTACATATTTAATTATGCGATATTTAGAAATAAAGTTCAGTCACAGTTCACTAATAACTTGTACCCGCCTGAGAGAGAGAGAGAGATTGATTTACAAATCACCAACTGAAAAAAAAAAAAAAAGACAGCTCAGTGCCAGGTTGCAATATAAAAATAAAGCATTTATTTAAGGGCAAATTATAATAAATTAAACTAGACTATAACAAAAATACACTAACTATTTTAAAAGGGTGATATTATTTTTCTATTTCACCATAAAACCTTAGGAAGTTATGGATTAACTTAAGCAAATGGAACAAAAACTGAACCCAAAGAAGGTACAGTAGCTACTTTTCTTGAAAACAAAACAATCTTTTCGTTCCTGCCATTTGTCTGAATTCTTCCTCCGGGCAAGCTGGACAGCTGCACTAGTAGGTTTTTTAGTCATGGGTTGTAAGCCCCACCTGGCTAGATTTGTTTAGCAGACAGCTGGCAGAATTAAATAAAAAGAATGGGACACAAAATGCCTCCAAAAAAAAAAAAAAAAAGCTGAGAGAATACTTTTTGGATGTTTTAGCCTTTTGGAGGTTTATGGTTTTCTCTCTACTTTTTCTTGCCTACATCCACATACTACTATATGTGAACATATCTCGTGGATATTTTCTCTCAATTATAATTCCGTAGCTGAGGTAAGAATGCAGCATAAATGAAAACATCAAGTAAGCATGTCTTAAATGACTTTTTTTTTTAGTTAGAAATACCAATTTGCAGTTTATAAGTCCCCAAGAATGACATCAGTTTTAAATTACCATTTTTTATTTCTGCATTTTCTTTGCTATTTTTTAAAGCCAATAAAATAGATTTTCTTCATCTGGAATGTTCTTTCTAGCTTAAAGATAAGAAGGAGTCTAAATTGTGGGAATGGCATCCTTCTGCATCTGTTTCTCTCACAAACCTATCAAATATCTAATTTTTGGCATGACTGCTGACTCCGACAGGGGGATGACATAAACCAGCTTTGTGGTTACATGTTTCACTTTTAATCTCATGGAAATAAAAATCAGCACTGAAGTGTCCCTTTACATGTGACAATTTGGGATTCTTTTCCAAAAGCCCAGGCAGAGGGGCGTTAACCTGGTTAAATTTAACACACAGCATATGCAGAAGTGTCATGCATTTTTATGCTAAAGGCACAAGGCAAACCTGGCTTTGTAGAGCTTTGTTCCCCTCTAAAGCAGGAACTCCAAACAATGGAAACCATGTAACTCACTGGCAGCAAGATGGAATGGTCGAAAATGCATGCAAGAATGGGGAGATGAAGTAGCCCGCTTAATAGCCACACATTTTCTGTGTATTTTATCTCTTTCCATAAATGCGACAGGACTAGTGGAATATTTCCACCATCGTGGGTTCACTACTTAGCGCGGGGAGAATCCAGGCTTTTCATTAAACATAGTAAATATAGTACGGAAGGTTCAGAAAAACCAAAATGGTCTGGATATGATCCTGATTGGAGGAACTCCATGAAAATAGATTCTAACTGCTGGTAAACGAGCGAGGGGGAGGGGCATGCTTATTTTAAAGATAGCTTGGCAGAGAAACATTAATGCTGATAGCCCAGCTAGCATCTTTGCGATGACAATGAATGGACAGGACACTACAGCAAGTACAAAAACTACTGAAAAGTTCAAATCTATTTCCACAGCCCGTGGAAGTGTCTCCAAAAATTAAGGACCAGGCCGGGAAACACAGTCTTCAATTCATTACCTAATACTTGCTTTCCAGAGCAAAAGCCCGACTTGGCCCTTCTCCACCATCCTATACATCTCTCGGTGCAATGTAGACTTCACGGAGCCAGGCATGATCTGTTTGCTGCAGAGGCCCGATTCCCTCTAAGCACTGATATCAATATCATACATTTCAAATACAAGGGAGGCCTGGGCAGCCTTAATCCCCCGAGCCCAAGTAAACTAAGCATGGTCCCCAGGGAGGCTGTTGGCATAGAGCAAAAGACAGTGTTCCTGTGTATGCTTTCACACGGTTAGCAAAATGGGTCCCCATCAAAGACTAAGAAAACAGACATGGTGAGAAGGCAGGAGTGAGGTCACTCTAGGTTTCTGTCTGACCCTTAAAGACAATCTAATCTTGGCTGTCATCTGACAGTGTTCTATTTAGTTTGATAGATACAATTACATCTATCCAGCCAGATAATTACAGTACTGTGCATCTTCCATGTCTTGGTGGCTTAGCAGAATTAAAAGCTATAAAATCCTTTTGTGTATGCTGTGGGGCTGGTCCTTTTCTTCCCTGATACAGATTTCCTCTCCTTTACCCTGCCCAAGGAAAAGAAAAGGGAAAGAATTAACTATCAATGGCATATTCTGATTCTGAATTATTTTGTAAACGTTTCATATGAATCCATCAAGTCTATCCTAGATCAACTTGTGTCTCAGCCAACTTCTTTACTAAAGAAAATTGATTCTTGTTTACTTCTTTCAGGAAGAAGAATCATGATGAATTTTAATAGGATAACCCCCTACTGTTAGAAAATCTCCCTCTGTTGGCTATGGGAGCTTTGAAATTTGTAAATCAGAAGTAAGCCTGCATTTTTTAAAAAATAATTTTTAGACCAAAAAAAAAAAAAAAAACACCTCTACAAGTTTCAAGCTCAACCTTAATAATTGTTCAACAGCCATATTTTTTCTTGTTTTCATCACCCCAATGAGCAGCACGTTATTCTGATACTTTGTTAACAGACCCTTTAATTGCAAATTGACCTTCAATTTTTAACAGAATCGCCCACCACCAAGCAGTATTTTATTTCTGGATGAAAACTAATATCATTCCTTTCTATTTTAGCACACATAAGCATTTAATTGGGGATAGTGTAGACTACTTAGCAAAGTAAATATTCCTAGGAGGAAGAAAAAAAAAAGAAGTTCTCTAAATGTTAGTTCTGTTCATTGAAATCTATGAGAGGAAGAGTTGATTATTTTGGATAGAGGTAAACATATTGCTATAGGAATATTGTAGTATAAACCCCATAGGTGTCATTCAAGATATCATCATAGTTATCTCATATTTAGCAATAAAAAACATACTATATTATTTGTTGGGTCAAAAGATATTACATATTCTTGGGAAGATATTTTTTTAACTTCTAGAGTTCAATATATAGCATAACAGAAAATTACTAACTTCTTTCACTACCTAGAGTTTCAAGCCACTAATTTTACTAATCCATTAAATGTATGTTTTCTAGCCTTAAGGAACCAAAGGAACCTGCAGACTCTGTATATTTACCCAGGGATCACTTTCCCGGTGATGAAATGTAACCAGTTCTTTTGTGGAATGGAGCAATCACTGGGTGCCAGTAACACTATGCTATGATGTGTAGAGAGGGAAATGAAGGCTAGCTCATCCGAAAGAAACTACAGGGGAATTTCAGATCGGCAGAATGCAATTATCCAAGTTGGAATTGTTCCAGGACACCAAAGCGAACTCTAAAGGTGGGTAAATTGAATAGCATTTCTCCTCAATTGCAGGACAAGCAACCACATCTCTGACAAAACTGGTGCTTGTTCTACTTATTTGTCTGTATTTTGTGAATACTACCGGCCAAGTGCTGGCCACTGTCATAGGAAATGAACAGCACAGACCATTCGATCAGAACTGGGGGCGTTAGATCTACTAATAGGAGGTGTATACTTTTCAGCTATCCAAAAAGTGAAAGAAGACACTTTCAGAATCTCTTATTTCAAGACACAATTCATTTGTTGACTGGGTACCCAGGGAAGCTCTATTTTCCAGTCCCTCTTGCATCTATGTATGAACATATCACTGAGTTCTGGCCAATGGAATCTGTGTGGAAATAAATACTTGTCTTCTAGGTTGGCCACAGAATACCCTACATGATCTCTCTCTCTCTCCCTCTCTCTCTCTCTCTCTCCCCCCCCCATCTCAAATACACACACACACACACACACACACACACACACACACACACACACTTACTCCTCTGGAAGTGAAGTACTCAGAGATGGTAGATGAAAAGAGTTCAAATCCCCGAGTCCCTGCTTAGAGGATTGCTGTCCAGAAGTCTCATTCAAGCTACTTCAGACCATGATGAGAACAAGAAAAAAACTTCTGTTGTGTTAAGATTTAGAAGTTTCTGTTACAGCAGCTAAAGATGACTTGACTAATATTAATATAATATCCATGGTAGAATTGGAATCCCTTTGAATTCCAGAATTAAGAAAGTTGAAAAGTTACCCCATAAAGCAAGAATGTGGTAAGACTTATAATTTCATTCATTGTATATGGGAGTGCAAAGCTTGTACTCATGTTTTGAGGGAAAAAATACACATATATATCAAGTTATAAGGACTTTATATAATGCTCATTCTTTGACCCAGTAAATTCCACATCTAGAATCTATCCTTGAGGAGAAATCAAAACTAGTGACCAAGATTTTTATTCCTCAGAACATTGGTTATGATAATAAAAAATATTATGTCACATTACTGTCAAGAACAGAGAGACAGTTAACTAAACTTTGGTTATGCCTTAGGAAATATTAGGAAATATTATGACATCATTAAAAATTATGTATCCAGACCAGCCTGAGCAAGAGTGAGACCCCATCTCTACTAAAAAAAATAGAAAGAAATTAGCTGGACAACTAAAAAAAAAAAAATATATATATATATATATATATAATTAGCCGAGCATTGTGGTACATGCCTGTAGTCCCAGCTACTCGGGAGGCTGAGGCAGAAGGATTGCTTGAGCCCAGGAGTTTGAGGTTGCTGTGAGCTAGGCTGATGCCATGGCACTCTAGCCGGGGCAAGAGAGTAAGACTCTGTCTCCAAAAAAAAATTATGTATCCAGTGAATATTTTAGTAATCCATTTATTCAATAAGCTTATGTTTACTGAGTACCTATTATGTGCCAGGACTTATTCTAGATGCTGGAGATATAAAAATGAACAACAAGATAAAGTCCCTGTTCTTGTGACCTGTATATTTTTGGTGGGTGAGACAAACAATGCATAAGAAACAAATCAATCAATCAACAAAATGATTGATACTAGTAACAAAGTGGGGGAAAATGCTCCATTGAGAATTTTTAAGTAAAGAATATGACATGCAGAAACTATATATACATTACACACACACATACACATATGAACCCCACATACAGAGTTAGGGAGAAAAAGGCTAGAAAGAAAAATAGTAAAATTCTAACAAATGCACATGTAATTTTTCTAATCCTGAGCAACTCCAAGTCCATGAAACATATGAATTAGTTTCACTGCTGATGTATGAATTTGAAATATTAAGTGTACAGCCCCAGTGTGGAGGGATCAATTTACATAGAGCACAAATGTAACTGGGCAGCCAACCAACAGCCACTTCGCAAAATGATCTTATTGTTACAAATCAAGTAACACTCTGCAAAGTCATCTAAATTATTTAAGAGAAAACACTATTACTTTTTCAAAAATTCTTAAAACAAACAACAACAAAAAAGAAGGTGATGGGTTTGGATAGAAACCAACAGCTAGTGCTGATAATGGAAGTGGAGAGACTTCACCAAGTGCAGAACAGCTATGGAGGGGATGGTCTTTATGGTAGCTGAGGGCCTGGTGCATGGGTTCATCATTTTCCTGCCCTACAAGTAACAAAAAGTAACGCCTTGAACATTTTCAGCCTATAGTCCAGAGAATGCAAAAATGATTCACAGAGTTAAAAATTAAAGAATTTTTGGTGCTTTGAAGTGCACCCTTAATTTTCCATTATAATTTATTTTCTAGGAGTAGTTATATGCTATGGTAGGATGGGTGACTATGTCTATTTTTCATGTGCTCAGAATGTCCACTCACAGTGTCAAGTGTTTACCATATGCCATAATGTTGACAGTGAATATGTTGGGGCTGAGGAATTAGGAATATTTTTGTTTTAATCTTCATACATGTCTACTTTCTTAAAAAATTTCTAGAGAGAATACAAATTGCTTTAAAAATCATATAGAAACAGGCCAGGCGCAGTGGCTCATGCCTGTACTCCTAGCACTCTGGGAGGCTGAGGCAAGAGGATTGCTTGAGCTCAGTAGTTTGAGACCAGCCTGAGCAAGAGCAAGATCCCCGTCTCTACTAAAAATAGAAAAATTAGCCAGGCGTCATGGTGCGTGCCTGTAGTCCCAACTACTTGAGAGGCTGAGGCAAGGGGATCACTTGAGCTCAGGAGTTTGAGGTTACTGTGAGCTATGATGACACAACCGCACTCTACGCAGGGTGACAGAGCAAGACTCTGTCTCAAAAAAAAAAAATTTAAATAGAAACAAAAATACATACATATATATATGTATATATAAAAAACAGAAGTGTACTGCTATCCCTTTGCTCACTAGGATTGCAAATGAGAACATTTTAGTCATGATGGGGCACCCACTGACATTATGACTTCCGTTGCATCTGCACAGTGGAGGTACCATAGATAGCGTCAAGTTGTTCGCCCAAGTCCATAGTGATCCCACTAAGCCATCACCTGGCAGGCGAGCTTAGGTGACCCCTTTGGGTTCTGTGCTGCACCTCTTGAAGACACACAAATCATAAAGATGCTCAGCCCCTGTGAGCCCCACCTCCACAAAATCCATTTGCATTCATCCATCCATCATTGCTGATTAGAACTCCATACCCTTGAGCGAAGTCCACAGATAGCATTTCAGAAACAGCCTATTTCCATAGAGATGGAAGCTCTTTAGAGCTTGTTCTTAACTAAGCTCAATGGAACGTCTTTGGGCATTCTGCACACACATAGAAGGGGCTGCAGTCCTGGCCATATCCCACCAGAACTAACTGTGTTGGCAACAGTGAAGATCTCCGAATCAGAGGGTTGGAAGGAATCTAAGTAAGACATCTATCTAGTCCATCACCTGCCTCCAGGCAATTTTCCAGGCAGATGGGTACTTATCCTATTCTTAAAGCTCAGCACTGATCTGAGGGAAAAGGACAAGGGTATTTATATCCATGATGTTTTCTAACCAAATGTGTAATATTTGCCACCTACACCATCTGCAACAGTTCAAAATGTAGTAAGACGGAAAGTTAAACTCATTGATCTAGGGAGAGATAATGAAATAAAAATATTTTGTATTATATACTACAATTTTCCCCAAAGCTTTTGATGAAGAAATTCAAAAAATGAAATCAGTACTTTCAGGCAAAGAATGACATTGTAAATCAGTGCAATTTCCAGAATTCAGGCAAGAAAAACTCAGTTGTTAGTCATTGCTCTTAGCATGTTTTACGCAAGTTAAGATCAAGGTCACAGGCTTACTCTCTGGGCAGGTCGTCGAGCTGCGCTTTGTTCCATGGCTTTTAAACAAAGTTCACCTGTCTCTTAAATTGACATCCTTAATCGCAAATTGCTTAAGAGAATATAGACAAATTATTGAAAAATTCATGTTTTCGAGTGGGAGGAGGACATCCTTTCTCTGCCTGTCCAGTTACAAGCACAATTATTTTTTACAGAAAATAAACTTAATTCTTTGTTTGGTGTTTGGATACAGAAATGAAATTTGAAGATCTCTTGGCCAGATTTTATAAAGAACTGCCCAACCCCAATCCCTTAATCCTCTTATTCACAGACCCCATTTCTTCAGATTTGGGAAGTTGAGCTGTTTAAGATTCAGCAGGTCACTTTCTCTGATGCCTGATATACGGATGGTGCTTAGCAACCTCTAGTGACTTGATTGCTGCTTGGCCAACCTCAGGTTTATTCTTCCAGCATCCTTGTTTTTGAACTGGCCCCAGCACAAGCTATTAATAATATTCAGATACTTACTCTTGACATTTGCTGGTGGGGAATGATGCTCTCTACACCCAGACAGGGCTCAGAGCTCCCAGGGACCACAGTTGGCCCTAGATTCTGTACAGGAGCATGGTCAGGCCAATGAACATGAGATAGATCTGTAAGAAACCTCACTCTGTAGACAAGCCTACAGGCAAACCAGAGGTAGCCCTGTTTCCAGCTTCCAGCCCTTAGTTCCAGTGTCGTATAACTAGCCCCATCCTTAAACTTCCTCTGGCCTCCTTGCTATAAGCATTGGAGGCAGTAAAGTTTATTTCTTTAGGAAACCTCTTCTCAAAAGTTATTTCCTACTGGGAGTGAGTCTGGCATTCAGAGCTTACCCTAGAATGACTTCAGCCTACATCTATTGACAGAACCATGATTTCAGACATGAGTCACAAAAAATGAGAATTTATTCTCCCTAATACAGAAAGTTAGCAAAAAAGGCCAAATTTAGTATGCATAAAATGGCCAGAAAAAGCTATGGCAAAACTTCTCTGTGCTACTTGCTTTCCCAGTAAGCAGGAGGGAAATTATATAATTGTGAATCAAGTATAGCAACGTAATAGAAAGAGAATCACCCAGGTATTTTAGAGACTAGAGTTCTAGTCACATCCTGCCACTTGGCAATGATATAAAGTAGGTATACATTTACA